TGTTTTAGACCTTAGATCTCTTAAATGAACCCAGATGTTGAACCTGTTTTAGACCTTAGATCTCTTAAATGAACCCAGGAGATGTTGAACCTGTTTTCTGTGCAACTCAAACATGTTAAACACGTTTGAGTTGTGTTTTTTTCCTTTTTGTGATTTTTTAAATTAGCTCAAAATTCAAATTGAAATGGAATAAAAACATGGCTGATGATGTGTGTGAAGKTGGAAAAGAGGCTCATGTTGTAGAACGAGTAATCGAGGAGGAAACTTGTTTTTCTTGTTGACGGCAGAGATGGAAAGATGCTAATGTTGTTTTTCTGTGTTGTTTTGCTAATTTAACAATCGGCATCTAGGATTGAACCACTTTCAGCAACATGACAGAAACCCACTTCTGGCTGAGATAACCACGCCCACAAAGTTGTAACCAATCAAACCCTGAGCTGCAGAGGCCTGCAGGAGGTRAGCTCACCTGGACACAGCTAATCTGGGTTTGTTTTTATTTGAACAAAGAAACTGGACTTCTGCTCCACGTCTCAGGTTAGAACTGGGAGCTCCTCATGGAGACCCTTCAGGTACTCAGAAGTCCAGTTTCTCTGTAGAACCATGTAGAAGGTTCTGTTCCACAAGGTTCTGTACAGTTTTACAGTAGTCCTGTAAAATTATCAGGTTTCCATGGTGTTTGTTTGTTTGTTTGTTTGTTTTGACGCAGTGAAACTGGGTTGTTTTTGTCTTTGCTCCCCCCTCATCCGACGCCCCCTCCCCTCCCGTCCTCCACTCCATTTCCGTTTCCCGCGGAAGCCCCTCCCTGTTAGCCTGTTAGCCGTTAGCTGTGCAGCTGGACGGCAGGAGCAGAAACCGGGAACGGAGGAGAAAAACCCCGGGCAGAGGGGGACATGAGTCGGGAGGCAGGCCGCAGAGGACCTCGGTGAAAAGTCGGCAGCTCTCCTGCCGGATCAACCCGCTTCCAGGTCCGTGAATCCAGCAGAAAGCATCATGAAGGAGGAAACAAACAACCAGAAGTCCCAGCCCTCATCCTGAACGGGCTGAGAGCAGCAGCTGGTTCCGGACGGGCTGAGGGCTAGCTTTAATCTGAAGAAACTTCAGCTATCTGTTAGCATGCTAGCTGCAGTTTTAGTTGTTTTGAATGAAGCTGAGCGGCTAACGTTAGCTTAGCTTCAGTCACTCACTAAAATAAAAGTTCTGAGACCCGAAAACACCGAGACCCAGTCCGGTCCAGCCGGGTCCAGCCGGGTTCTGAGAGTTTGTTGGGTCTGAGGTTTGTGTAAAATGTGACAGTTGGTCTGTTGTGGCTGTTCACTTCAGGGTCTGACAGGAAACTTGATAAAGTTTAACTTAACCAGATCAGATGAACCTGAGTTTAACTGTCAGCTGATWTAAACTTGGACAGTCACGTTCATCTTAACAATCACAGGTTAGAATAAAAGAACTAATTAAGGTAACATTTAGCCATAACATTATGACCACCTGCTTTCTCTAAAACCTGATANTGTTATGACCCTACCCCCTTTTCTTTGAAGAAAAGTAAATAGCTTGTCCTTATGGGGGTTGGAAACAGGAATGTGACAATGTAAATTCTTTCAGTGGTCTTCTGAGGCGCCATGGTAACGGTTGATATGCTAATTTAAAGCACAAAGGGTCAGGCCTTAACAGAAGTCTGAAAAATATATCTGACTCCTTTCACCAAACAGTCATTAGTTGTGTCCATCAAAAATCATAAATTGAGGGAGGAAAACGCTACAGTGGGGCTGACACAATGTTAATGGGGGTTTGGGTGGGTAATAAAGGAGAAGCAGCAGAGAGGTGTGTAACACTACAGCTCTGCTTCCTAGTCTGGACCCTGGATTGTCAATAAGTTCTGTCGTCAACAAAGTCAGCTGGAKYCTTAGAGAGGAGAGCAGCTCCAGTCAGGGTGGGATGGAGGACATCTCTCTGCATCAGACCAGGTTTCCCCAGAAASAACTCCAGTTATCCACGTAGCTGACATTGTTTTCAGAACACCACTTGGATGTCCAGTGGTTAAATGAAGACATACGACTAAACATGTCATCACTGGTCAGGTTAGGGAGGGGGCCAGAGAAAACTACAGTCTGACATAGTCTTTGCAAAATTTCAGACCGAAGCAACGTTAATCTTAGTAACCTCTGATTGATGTAACCTAGAGTCATTTCCACTGACATGAATCACGACCCTACTGTACCTAGAATTAGCATTAGCTAGTAGCTTCAGAGGACGCCCGCTCTGGCTCCAGGAATACATTTAATCATGGTCACTGGAGTCCCTAAATCCACGTTTTGGACCATAGAGCTGCCAATAACCAGGGTCTGTTTGTCGACCGGAGTGTCGCTGAGTGGGGAGAAGAGATTATAAACATCAACGGTTTGATGGTCGGGAGGTTTAGCTTTAACACTAGGCTTTTTCTGGGCCGTCACCCTGCTAGTTCGGGGCGGTGGCCTCACAGGATCCATCGAGGGACCGCTAACAGGAGAGGCTTCTCTCAATGGCTCAGTGCTAGCCTGGCTAGCTGTTGGCTTCTCAACAACGTGAAGCCGAGCTTCTAATTCAGACAGCCTCGCCTCTAAAGCTGCCATTAGTCCACATTTAATACAAATGTTGCCGCCACTAAAAGAGGCAGGGGAGGAACTAAACATCTCACAGACGGAGCGAGGAAGGCCGAGCTCCAAGAAGTAGCCATGATGCTAAGCAAACGTTAGCGAGGGCTACAAGATCCCAGAAAACACAAATAAACCAAGAAGTGTTGAAAAATAAAAGATGTTTTAAGCACAGTCCCAATAAGAACAAACTAAATCAAGGTGATTTAGGACTAGAAGTAGAACCGTGCAAAGGTAGATAATCCAGTAAATAAGGAATAAGATTGTGGAATAATCTGGAAAGTGATTATAAAAATGCTGTCTCAGTACATTTATTTAAGAGAATGATAAAAGTTAGATTGTTGAAGAAATATGAATTTGTATAATGTGCATTCATAAGAACTGTTGTTTGAGAAGGAGTTGAAGTTTTTATGTTTTGTTATTTGGAGATTATTGTTGTTAGATTTTTTTTAAAAGAGCAGATATTAATAAGATATTTTCTTCTTTCTGCTACCTTTCATTTTAGTTGTGTTTTGTAATATTATGTGTTGTATTTATAGCATTTGTTTTGTTTTTAAATGAAAAGAATAATTTTTAAAATAAAATAAACAAATAAATAAATTGAAAAGATTCAACAAACAAACAAACAAACAAACAAACAGCCAAGCACCAGCAGCAAAGCAGAAAATGATCCGTTAACCCACGTCTGTCTCCTGAACACAGGAGCAGGTGGACGGAGGAAAACGTTCGGTAGGAGCTCTAAAGTTAACGGAGCAACTTTTAATTAACGTCGTGGAAAAACTGATTCAGGACGTCAACGATGAATTTACAGGGTGTTTCACTTTTCTGATTTAGTGACTCAGAACCAAACAGAGCATCATGCAGCCTTCAGAACACCAAATGACACTGTTATATTGAGAAAAAATAAAATAATTAGTCACTATAAGTCCAAAGGTTGACACCATGAGTCAGATTACAGACAAATGTTCTGTTTATAAAGAAAACTTATCACTTCTTGTCCTTCCTCTTCTTCAGCTTGGTGATGTTTAAACACTGCCACCAACTGTTCAGGAGGATTATTACACCCTAAATGTTGTTTCTCTGTGGCGGGGCGTGGACAGCAGGGTGGTCAATGATTTGTCTGTGGTGGGCCTGGACACCCCCTGGCTCCGCCCCTGGTGTAAAGCACTTTGGAGTCTGATGGGACTTGATAAAGCTCTATTCAAGACTTTTAGCATTTTAATGTTTTTATTCAAATGAAAAAAAAAACATTTCCAACATTTAGTCCAAAGTTAAAAACATGTTGTTTTTCTCTGCAGTCAAATAAACTTATTTTATTTATTAAACACAAAGTCAAATGAAAAAATGTTTGACATAAAGTTTCTAACATTATATAAATATGATTTAAAATCTAAAACACAAAAAGATCAAAAGAACATCAAAGCTCTAAAACAAAATGTTTACAATGGCAGCAACAGGTTCCTCCAAGTCTCCAGTGTCCACTGAGTTTCAGGTTCTTGGAAGTCCACTAAGTCATCAAAGCCCCCAGCTTCATCAGAACCGTCAGGTTGGTCAGTCCCCTGGTTTGCAGAGCCCCCAAGTCCACAAAGCCCTCAATTTCCTCATACTATTCTGGTTCCTCAGAATCCTCACATTTCCCAGAGTCCTCAGGTTCTTCAGGTTCCACAGGTTCCTCAGGTTCTTCAGGTTCCTCAGGTTCTTCAGAGTTTCCAGGTTCTGTAAAGCTCTTGGAGGTCAGGTGTGTTCTGGATCTCTTCAGTCCTGTATAGGTTCTTGGAGTCCTGGTCTTGCAGGGTGGGATTGCTTGCAGGTCATTAAAAGCACGATTGGCCCTTGATGGTGAAGAGACCCTGAAACTGAGCCAATCACAGTMCTCCTGTTATGATGATGTCACTTCCTCCTGCGGCAGCGGTAGCAGCACGCACGGCAGCAGCCAATCTCCTCCTGCCCTCCTTCATCCTCTTTGACCATATATGGTGGGGGGGCGGAGCTCTTCTCAGCATATGGGTTCTGGCTGTTTAAAGCCATTGGATTGGCTATAACTGTTGCTCCCATGTCAACAGAAGAGCGGAGCTTCGCCCGTGGGATGGTCACCTGACCGTACGGGTTTTCCAGGGAAATGTTGATGTTTGAAGACATGGCAGAGTCTCAGGAGGGTGGGGCCAGAACCAATCAGTCAGTCTAAGGCTTGACCAGGAGAAGTTGTAGAAAGTCTTCTGTAGAGAGAAAGAGAGAAAAAATTAGTTTTAAATTAAAATGATAAAGAATGATATTTCCACAAAAATACAGGCTGATAAACTGATAACTTCAACATTAAGGTTTTACAAAAGGTTTGTTCCTTTTGCCTGCATTCAGATTCAGACAGATCTTTCCATCCTGGGCCTGAACATCAGATTAACTTCTGTCTTATATTCATTTAGTTGTTCTTTTTTCAGGATGGACTGATTCTTTAACAGACAACCTAAAGGACTTTTGTCTCCCTTCAGGGCTCTCTACAGCTGATCCTTCACTGTTCCACCATCTTCATATCTTCCTTCAGCACATCCACAGAGCTTCTCTGAGGGCTTTCWCTTCTCCTAATTTACAACAATCTCTGATTTTTCACTGCTCAAACGTAGCTGCCCTCTACTTATTTCTAATCCTGTTCATCCTGGTCCTCACAGAGAAAACCCTTTCAGCTCAGCTTTCTGTCCCAAGACCTTTTCTATTCTTGTCACATATCCGTTCATCCTGCTGGCATCATGGCAGCTTTAGCACGTTTAAAACCACACTAACTAACAGGCTTTACTAGGAGGTTAAGAACAGATACAAAAATCTGCAATAAAAAATTCAAAAAGCCAAAATTAAATATCCACAAGTATAAAAAATAAGATGAAAACAAGAAAGTTTCACAATTTCAACCTTTTGATGGAACTCAAACCAAACATGAGTTAAAAACTAAAGATGTGAGTTTTTAGACAAGACTGTACAGATACCAAAGGGTAGGTTGGTCTACAGTCTGGGGGGTTGGTTGGTCCAGAGTCTGGGGGGGTTGGTTGGTCTAGAGTCTGGGGGGCTTGGTGGTCTAGAGTCTGTGGGTTGGTTGGTCTAGAGTCTGG